AAAGAAAATGTCCTCCAATATATAAACCTTTCCTTAACTTTTACAATAACGGACTAATACAATATTTGTCCTTTTGTGACTGACTTATTTCGCTCAGCATGTCCTCCAAGTTCATCCACGTTTCAAATACTATTTCTGCCACTCACTCTCCTCACCTCTAAGTCTTCCATTGTATATATACATATTGTTCCGCTTGATGGTGTCTCACAGACCTCTCTGGTCCTGCTCATTTTTCTGACTTTGTTTTCATCCTGTTCTACAGACTGGATCATCTTCATTTACCTATCAAGTCTGCCAACTCTTTATTCTGTAACTTAAAATCTGCTATTGTGTTCTTCTAGTAAATTTTTCATTTCACTTACATACTTTAATTCCAAAATCTCTATTTACTTATTTTTTATTCTATCTACTGCTGTTAACACAATGCACTGCCATCAAGTCACATCCGACTCATAGCGACCCCTCCTTGGTTTTCTGAGGCAGTATTTCTACGGAAGTAGATTGCCCAACCTTCCTCCCAAGGAGTGGCTAGTGGGTTTGAACCACGAGCCTTCTGGTTAAGCAGTCAAATGCCTTAGGCACTACACCACCAGAGCTCCCATGGCTGTTAGACGAGATGCTAATATCACAATTCTAATTCTTCAGATATGATTCACTTTAATTCTTTGAATGTATTTACAACGTTGTTGTTAGTGCCGTGGAGCTGATTTCAACTCACAGGAAACCCCCTCCCCCCCGCATGACAGAGCCCCTTGGGTATTTTCTATGCTGTCATCTCCACAGGAGCAGATCACCAGGTGTTTCTCCCTGGGACTGTACCATCTGCTTTTTTGTCTATAGCATTCAACCCTTAAAGCAATACTAAACAACTGCTGTCACCTGCATTCATCAAAAAGGGGACAGGACATTCAAGAGGCAAAGCAGCCACTCATACCACGTATTGGTCTTTTCTGCAGCCTGGAATGTTCCAGGCCTATGGTCCTAAGACATCATCCCTGCAGCTGAACTTACTCCTATTTGCATTTCAGTGATCACACTTCACATGTACCTTACCAGTTCAGATAAAAAGACCCATGGTTAATTAATCCAATGGACTAGTGGACTAATGGGAACTTCAGCCTGAGGCCAGAAGAACTAGATGTTCCCTGGCTACACTGTCAACCACTCAGAAAGGGATCAAAATTAAGAGATCCTGGGTAGAGTAGAAGAAAAATGTGGAACAAAACTCAAAATCATAAAAAAGACCTGGCTTACTGGTCTGATAGAGGCTGGTATAACCCCCAAGATTATGGCCCCTGGTCACCTTTCAGGCCTGGAGTTGAACTCATTCCTGTGGCTTCCAGCCAAACAACAGGCAGGCCTATGAGGTGAACAATTACACCAGGTACACTCCTTAGAACAACCAACCATGAGAGATCAGAAGGCCAGCATCTGCACAGGGAGAAAGCTCAGAGGACAGGAATGCATAGGAAGGAAGGACATAGGAAAAAGGTAACCATAGGGAGGCAGTGGGAAGAGAGCTATTACATTGTGAGGGTTGCAATCAATGTCATGAAACAAATGTGTATGAACTGTTGAATGGAAGAAAAATTTGCCTTGTAAACTGTCAC